ATTTGATTTTTTTTCTTCTAAAATTATTTCCTTTGAGAACTCTTCTATATTCTGTAGATATATTTCTATATCTTAATTATATGTTTATTTAGAAACATTTGGAGTCAAATTTCCTATTAAAAATCCTTTAAAAGACTGTTCTACAATCTCCAAGTAAGTTTAACTGGCAAGCCATCATGAGGTGAAAATAATTTGTATTCATACAGAAAGGCAGACACCTGCCATTGGGCATTATTGATTTTAAAAAAAATTATATAATATAATAATTTAGTCATTGGAAAGCGCTAAACGTACGTCTACACAGCAGGGCTAAAGTTGAAATAAGCTACGCAACTTCAGCTATGTCAGTTGTATAGCTGAAGTTGAAATACCTTGTTTGTGAGTTAATGGTATTACAGGTGATAATTGGGGAAACTGTCTTGGTAATGGGTGAGAAAGTTCAAATTCTTGTTAAGTCCTTGTTGGCAAGTGTCGAATTTAAGACTGTTCTTCAATCTCCAAGTAACTTTAACTGGCAAGCCATCATGAGGTGAAAATAATTAGTATTCATACAGAAAGGCAGACACCTGCCATTGGGCATTATTGATTTTTAAAAAAATTATATAATATAATAATTTAGTCATTGGAAAGCGCTAAACGTACGTCTACACAGCAGGGCTAAAGTTGAAATAAGCTACGCAACTTCAGCTATGTCAGTTGTATAGCTGAAGTTGAAATACCTTGTTTCGGCGTTTGGCGCTGTCTACACAGCAGGAAGTCAAAGGAAGAACACTATTCTTTTGACTTCCCTTACTCCTTGGGAAATTAGGGTTATAGGAGTCAGATAAGAAGTCCTCCAGCTCGACATTATTTTGAAATAAAGGCTTGTAGTGTGGAGGTGCACTTTGTTATTTCAGAGTAGCTGACATTATTCCGAATAGGGATGTAAGCAACTAGTAACTAGGGCTGTGTCTAGACTACATGCCTCTGTCGGCAGAGGCATGTAGATTAGACACATAGGCAAATGAAGCCGCGATTTAAATGATCGCGGCTTCATTTACATTTACATGGCTGCCGCGCTGAGCCGACAAACAGCTGATCAGCTGTTTGTCGGCTCACGCGCTAGTCTGGACGTTCCCCCTGTCGACATCAAAGCCCTTTGTCGGCAGCCCCGTTATTCCTCGTGGAATGAGGTTTCCCGGGGCTGCCGACAAAGGGCTTTGATGTCGACAGGGGGAACGTCCAGACTAGCGCGTGAGCCGACAAACAGCTGATCAGCTGTTTGTCGGCTCAGCGCGGTAGCCATGTAAATGTAAATGAAGCCGCGATCATTTAAATCGCGGCTTCATTTGCCTTTGCCCAAAAAAAAAAATCTACATGGCTCCGTCGGCGGAGCCATGTAGTCTAGACGTACCCTAGTTGACTATCCTATAAGCATAAGCTCATTGGATAGTCGACTATTGATGCAACTAATTGCTTCCTCCCCCATGCTGCCTCTATTAGAGAGAGGCAGCAAGGTGTGGGGAGCAGGAGCCAGTGCTGGGGGGAGCCTTCTTAAAAGCCGGTTCCCCCCAGCACCATCTCCTTGGGGGGCAGAAGAAGTAGAGGCTCAGTGGGAAATGGTGCGAGCGAGGAATGCTTCAGTCCCCACTCATGCCATTGCTACCATGCTTCTGGTTTTTGAAAAGCAGAAGCCCCACAGGGTGATACAGAGGTAGCAGCGCAGGGTGTCGGGGGCTCCTGAGAAGTGAGACCAGAGCGCACTGGCTGCTGACCCCGCCCCTGAGGACTATAAAATAGTCAATTAACTGCTAAGAATTCATGCGGTTAGTTGACTATTCTATTACCCACTATCTAACATCCCTAATTTTAATAGGTCATGTTAGGAGAGGGGTGGGCAAACGTTTTGGCCTGAGGGTATGGTAATTGTATGGAGGGCCATGATGAATGCTCATGAAATTAAGGTTGGGCTGTAGGGGGGGGGGGTGCAGGTTCTAGGGTTGGGCCAGGGATGAGTAGTTTGGGGTCCACGAAGGAGTTTCGAGCTGGGACCAAGGAGGTCAGTGGGCAGGAGTGAGATGCGGGCTTGGGCAGGGGGTTGGGGTATGTGTATGTGTGAGGGCTCTTGCTAGGGTTGCAGGCTGTGGGGTGGGGCCAGGAATGAGGAGTTTGGGGTTGGATGGGGAGATTCCAGGCTAGTATCAAAGGGTCCAGAGGACAAAAGGGGAATAAGGGCTAGGTAGGAAGTTGGGGTGCAAGAAGGTGTGAAGGCACTGGCTGGGGTGTGGACTCTGAGTGAGATTGGGGATGAGGGGCTTGGGGTACAAGAGGGTGCTCTGGGTTGGGACTGAGGGTTCGGGCGTTGAGAAGGGGATCAGAGCTGGGGCAGGAGTTTCGGGTATGGGGGAAGGGGATTCAGGGGTGCAGGCTCTGGGCTGCACTTTCCTCCTCAGGCGGCTCCCAGAAACAGTGAAACATCCCCACAGCTCTTACATGGACATGCAGCCAGGCAGCTCTGTGCGCTGCTTCCACGTCTGCAGGCTCTGACCCTGCAGCTCCCATTGGCCACAGTTCCCAGCCAATGAGAGCTGTGGGCATGGTGCTTGGGGTGGGAGCAGCACATGAAACCCTCTCCTTCCCTTACACATAGGAGCCAGCCAAAAGGGGGACATTCTGCTGCTTCTGGGAGTCACGTGGAGCAGGGGGAATCCCAGACCCCACTCCCCAGCAGAAGCTCGAGGGCCAGATTAAAATAGCTGGGAGGCTAGTTTTATACCTCCGCGTCCCGTCCCCCCCATGTTAGGATTTTTCTGCTGTCATGCAACCTGGTGAGCATGTATGTGTGTGTATATATGTAGATATGTAGATAGCTAGCTAGATAGTCTACAGGAATTTTTGCAATCAGATATTCAGAGTATATTTTACCACCGTGTCCTGTTTCTGGGAGAACAATGATACTTAGCACCAAGGTAACGTTTTATATCTTGAAAGTGGCTGGGACACATTAAGGCCTGATCAAGCAAAGCTCACAAGTATGTGCATAATTTTAAGCAGGGGAACAGTTCCACTGAAGTTAGCAGGCCTACTGACTTGTGTCATATTACACACATATTTGCGTCCTTTACTGGAACAGGGCCAAACTGATTAATTTTCATTTCACCCCATGAGATTGGTATCTCTTGTATCTTAAGCGTGTCAATGTCAAAGCTGGTTGAGAACTCAGGAGTGAGGATATGTTTCTACTAGGCACTAGAACACACAGA